TTCAACTATTCTTTTGTCTGTATACATGACTAAAAATTTCCCAATTATGTTTGTTGTCGGTTATGTTTACATTTGACATATATCTATGTTTCATTGTGGCAGCCATAGCAATATAGGTTTGTATTAGAAAGACACTAAAATTGTCACAAATCACACTTAATTAGGTAATATGTTACAAAATTTAACTAAGCAGGAGATCACAGAACTAAAAAGATGCAGAGCTTCGATAGCTGCTGACCGAACTCAATCCTTAGTTATACTATTAAGGAAATCATCTATTTTCAGCCTTGCTTTCATTTTCTTATTTTGGATTGGGAAATGTTCTTCCTTGGCTTCCTTGCCCCTGTTCCTTCATGGCCTCACAGATTGTACTTCTTCCTCCACTATGTCTGGTGACTCATCTTTAAGGCCCTGTGTTTCTTGTGCAATGCATTTCATTACTTTTTTCTTCATGGCGTCATGGAATTTGCTTCTTCTTCCACTTTTATTGGTGGTTCATCTACTAGTGCATGTATTTCTTAAGTAATTAGACTCCACTTTGAGTTTATATTATTCATATTGATCCGGACAACGAGGTTGAATTGCTTGTCTTCACTCAAAACCAATCTGTTATAGTTATTACAGTCTTTTTTCTATAAGAAATGTCAACAACTTGATATGTTAAGGGAACAAGTTGTAGGAAAGGTGTTGATTCAATAATTTGAATTTGGTCTTCAGGTTGTTGGTATGTAGTGTACGATGTTAAAAGTACAGTGCTTACCTTTGTGGAGGTTGCTTTGATGTACTCTTGGATATTTCAGCCTATTAATTTTTTTACTGCTGCAAAGAGTGTAACCGGCCACATTGTTGTCCAACGCAAACTTCAAGTCGTAGGCAGAAGTTTGAGAGATGTGTATATTATAACCTGTGAGAAGTGGCAAAAGTTAGAATTTCTGGAAATGTAAGAATAGTGGAACGATAAATAGGGGATAGAATAAGAAGAAAAAAGGTTGGGCACTTCTAGAACTACATCGCAAAAATAACAGTTCGTAAATTATGTGAATCAGGGGGAATCCACTTATGTAATGAGTGTCATGTCCATGATACTTTAAAGGAAACAGTTCAGGTGGTGGGAACTTAGAATTGTTAATGCTGGCCTAAAGTTTCACCTAAGGGTACTCCAATTGTTGAGTGGGTTTTGAAGATGAGGAGCGTTGCTAGCCAGAAAAATCAACACGTATAGGTTAATCAAATTACAAAGTGCACATGATTGTGCAAGTAACGAAGGCAGTATGCTTGTGTTAAAACAGTGGATACTTGTTCGTTTTCACAAGAAGTTGGAATTACAATGGGAGATGGGGTTCATCGACTGTTTGGTATAAATAGAGGAAGGAGAGAAAAGATAGAAGTTGCACCTATTTGGGATTGTTTACATCTGGTGTCGTTTGTCCAGTTTTTGGGATTGAGTGTAACGCTAAGGGTTGGGTCTATTTTGAAATTCATCGGCATTGCCGTCTATTCAATTGCAGGAAAGGTAAGGGTTGTTGTCTGTTCAGTTGTAGGGGAGCTAAGTGTTGAGTCTACTTGGGAATTAATGGAAGCTTAAAGTGCAGGCGATGTAGGTGGTGTTTGTTGGGAAGGAGGTTAAGCACGAGGTGATGTAGGTTGACAAAAAGACACATATCTAATGGTATTTAGTTAGGGGCATTCTAGGAATTTTTCTATAGGTTTCTTAAGTTGGGGTATATTAGTCATTTAACTTTAAAAGTTTGGAATTCATGTTTTTAAGGTAGTATACATAGATATAGATTTTTAGGTCCAAAAGTTCCCATAGTTAGCCAAATTTTGAGATGCTAAGGAAAAAATCTGCACACTTTAGTCTTTGAAATTGTAGTACACTTATATAGGTCAGAGTGGAAAAATAATTGTTTGTTGTATTGGCAGATTTACGAGACTGACCTACGAACTGTAGAAAGTCCTACGGCCCATAGGAATTAAATCATCGAACCCAGAATTGAGTTTTGGAAAACATAGTTTCTGAAGTTTGATCTATGATTTGACAGGACGAACTGTAAGAGTTTTGACGAGCCATAGATGGCACTCATAGGAGTGATTCTGAGATTTAATTTAAGACCTCAGTTTTACAAAAGGAAATATCTGGTAAAAACCTACATGCCACAGGAAACTTTGCACCCTTTTTCCAGAAATAGGAGGGGGTAATTTTTCAATCACTTCCACCTTGGCTTTATCCACTTCTAGTCCATGCTTTGACACCTTATGACCCAACACTATGCCTTCTCGAACTAAGAAGTGACACTTCTCCCAGTTGAGCATTAAATTTGTATATACACATCAAGAAAGTAATTTATCAAGGTTCCCGAGACATACCTCAAAAGACTTCCCAAAGATCGCGAAATCATCCATAAGTAACTCTACAAAGTCCTCCACCATATCATGAAAAATGGCCATCATGTATCTTCGAAAGGTTGTCGAACCATTGCAAAGTCCAAATGGTATGCGTTTGTAAGCATATGTACCATAAGGACAAGTGAATGTGGCCTCTCTTGATCTTCTGGTGCAATCAAAATTTGATTATATCCAGAATACCTATCTAAGAAGCAGAAGTACTCCTTCCCTGCCAGACAGTCAAGCATTTGGTCAATGAAAGGGATAGGATAATGATCTTTTCACGTGGCCTCATTTAACTTCTGGTAATCCTTGCAAATTCTCCATTCGGTGACTGTTTTGGTGGGGATCAACTCATTTTTATCGTTCGTCACTACTGTCATACCACCCTTCTTTGGTACACTCTGCATAGGACTCACCCACTTACTATTAGAAATCGGATACACAATACCAGCATCTAGCCACTTGATCACTTCTTTTCTCACTACTTCTTTCGTCAAGGGATTTAGCCTACATTGATGTTGTGCACTTGGCTTGTGATCCTCCTCCATATAGATTTTGTGCATACATAACACTGGGCTAATCCCATGAACATCAGTTATCTACCACCCTATAGCTCTCTTCATTCGCTTCAAGATTCTCAATACCGCATCAACCTGTGTTTCAGACAATTTTGCAAAAAATATTACAGGTAAGGTTCCATTGCTACCCAAATACGCATACCTAAGGTGAGAAAGCAGAGATTTCAACTCTAATTTGGGTGCTTCTTCAATTGAGGATTTGAGTGGAGGCCCCACTCCGTGATCCAATGATTCCACCATATTTATTTTTGTTCCCATTACTGCAAATTTAAGACAAGTTGCCATCTCTTGAGCTTCATAATCTCCATCTATTTCATGTCCCATAAAAACTCTTTCTAAGGGATCCTCGGAAGTAATGCACTGTGATTCTACAGCTAGATCCACAACAGTGATGGCGGACAACTCTTCATAGATGGACGGTAATTTTAAAGCGCGATAGACATCAAACACTTCAACCTTATGCGCCTTCATGGTTAACTGCCCAGATGCTACATCGATCAATGCTCACCCTGTGGCTAAGTAAGGACTCCCCAAAATAAATGGAACTTCCGGATCAAGCTCAAAATTTAGGATTACAAATTCCACTGGAAAGATGAATGATCCCACTTACACCAACACATATTCTACTACCCCCTCTAGCCTTGTAATAGATCTATATGCCAGTTGTAGAATGACAGTTGTTGGTTTTGGACTTCCTAACCCAAGTTTCTTGTATAAAGATAACGGTATGAGATTAATGCTAGAACCCAAATCACATAAACCCCGGGCATGGACACTTTGTCCAATTGTAATTTGCAGAGTGAAGCTACCCAGATCCTTCAGCTTCTTGGATAGTCTATATAAGATTCAAGAATTGTACTCCTCAGTAAGTGCTACTGTTTGACACTCTGTTAGTCTTCTCCTGTTTGCCACTATATCCTTCACATACTTGGCATACTTGGGAATTACCTGAAAAATATCAACCAAAGGCAGGTTAGGTGAACCTGTTTAAGGAGAGAGAGAAACTTATCGAAACATTAATCTTCGTTCTGCTTTCTGAAATTTTGTGGAAAAGAAGGAGGTGGTTTCACTTGAGGAACACTCTTCTCAACATTGGAGTTCTTTACTACCTCTTCTTGATTCTTTTCTCCACTCACTACCTCAGTATCTCTTCTCTTTGGAGCTAGCTCCTCTAGTTGTAGCCCACTTCTGGTGCTCACCACATTCAACTGCTTCGGGTTGGGCTCAGTGTCACCCGACAAACCTCCATATGGACACAAGTTGAGCGAATTAGCTACTTACGCAACTTGTTTTTCGAGACTGTGACATTTGGATGTTCCTCAAGTTCTCATCCTGCCTATCTATCCTTGCATTATATTTTGGATTCTCGGCACTGTTCTTACCGATTTTTGCTATCAACTTTTGGAAAAACTCCTCATTAGTCATACCCATTTTCTGCGCACTTGGTTCCCACCTTGGCTATTAGCTTGATATTGCTGCCCATTTATTTGTGCTCAGTATTAGTTAGCCCCTTGTGCTTGATTTTGGTTCTGGGTTTGATTTTCACCCCATGAGAAGTTATGATAGTTCATCCAACTAGAGTTGTAAGTATTACCATAACTCAGCATACCTCCACCTCCTTGCGCATTGCCCACATAGTTCACGGAGTCCGGATTTTCTTCACAATATTCAGTTGCATGTTCTCCACTACCACAGACTCCGCACCAAACAATAAATTGTTGTATAGTATTCACCGGTGCTTGTTGATTTAGTGCAATTTTCTTGAACTTCATGGTTATATTACGGTTTATTGCATCTAATTTTGCATTTATAGTGGTAGCTTGATCCACATCTAGAATTCCTGCAACCCTTTGTGTCGTTGTCCTTGGCATCTCTCTATTCCACTCGGGGTTTCCCTCTGAGAGTCTGTCTAGGAGGTAAAATAGCTCTTCATGGGTCATTGCTAAAGCTTGTCCACCTATTGCACTATCAAGAAGTACTCGTGCATTATAATCAAAACCATCAATGAAATTATGAGAAAGTACCTCATTTGCTTGGTAGTGATGTGGACAAGTGTTTAGCATTTGTTTAAATCGAGCCCATGCTTGATACATATCTTCTCCATTTTTATGCTTGAAGCTTAGTATTTCACTCCTCAACCTCACAGTTTTGCCTCATGGAAAGAATCGACTCAAAAACCTCTTTGCTAAATAATCCCATGTAGTGATGGAATTTGGTGGCTCTGTATCTAACCACTGCCTAGCTGCTCTCAATAATGAGAGTGGGAAAAAAGGCAACCTCACATAATCCGATGAGACCCTATTCGTAATATATGTATCTCTTATCTCCAGAAAGTTCCTTATATGAACTTGGGGATCCTCGTGAGGGAGACATGTGAATTGCCCCATGGAGTGGATGAGTTGCACCATATTTTGTTTCAGCTCAAATCTGCCACCCGTTGGTGGTTTCTGTATACTTGATGCCACAGTGGCTGTGAGTGGGACTGCCACATCACTGATTGGCCTTTCCGGTATAATTGGAGGTACCTCTTGTCCTTCGTTATTCATGTTTTCCACGTGCTCACCCTCAATATTTTCTGGGAGACCCATTCCCAATTCTTGTTGACGTCCTAGATTCGCCAGCTTTCTTCGTAGTCAAAAATCTCTTTCAGGTTTGTCGTTTGGGTCAACAAGATATCCTTTTCGAGCCAAGCTAAGATCAAGTTGTTAACACTTGAATAGTCTAATTGTAAACTTAAGAAAATTAAATGTAAATTAATTCCTAAGTCTCCGGCAGCTGCGCCAAAAACTTGTTGCTCCCAATTGCACACGCAAGTATACGTGGTTCGCACTAGTAATATAGTTCCTTTTAGAATGAGTTATCATACCCAAGGAACTTATGATCAATTTATATTCGCTAACTTAATTCCACAATTCGACAAGAGTAGCTTTAAAAGAGTGTGAATGTTGTTTACTCCTACTAAGACTAATTCAATAAATAAAGTAATGTGAACCACTTCAATGTGAGGTTTTAAACAAGTAAGAGACAATTCCAGGGATTCAGCATGCTTTGGATTTCATGTATCGTATCTTAAGTAATGAACTAATTTAGGTTATCAAGCCACTGATTTACAGTGTTGATTATATGATCATGCTCTCCCGACCTCTAATCGCCTACTCCAATTAGTTGTTTAACTACATCGTTGAGCGGGATAGGTAGTCCTAATTGGTGATCATTTATATTTCATAATGTTTTGTAACCAAGCTAGGTGTTCTTTCGGGAGTCACTCCTAAACACAAACCAACTCATTTTAATGGAAGATCAAGCTTTATATCTCCTTTTGTCTATCTACCTTAGAGTATCTCGAGTTTAAGAGTAGACAACAGATTTATCTCTATGATGGCCAGTCAAGAAATACTAAAAAAAGAACATTAAAGTAACTTAAAAATGATAACCATGAATTAATTCAAAACCATTGACACTTAACAATCATCTGTAGCTACATCCCAGAACAAGGGCGTTTAGCCAATCATAATATTCTAAAACCACAAAATAATATTATTCATGTGATTTTCAAAATAAAGAAAGAGTTAGAGAATTGAAACCTATTACAATATGTTAATCCTTGCTTTTGCACACCAAAAAGAAGTTGAACTCCTACAAAATAACCCTAGGGTCCTATTTATAGAGTTTAGCAAAATATTTCCAATTCTTGCCCAAGAACGAATCATAATTAAACCATTTTTGGCAAAAATATCGGTTAGGCCTTGGGGAAGTGCGCCAGAATCACACCTGGCAGGCTGCCAGTGTGCCAAAAAGAGGCGCCAGTCGATCTTAGACTAGCGCGTCGCGCCTCCAACACGCCAATGAGGCAGGGGCGCAGCGCCAAGCTCCTCCTTGGCGTCAGTTTGTCGCCCTTTTCTTTCTCTGCACTCCTTCTCAATTACTTCTTTTAAGATCCCTGGAAAATAGCTAGTCATGCATATTAGTATGCAATTATCGCAATCCTAAGTTAAAACGTGTAAATTAGATTAGTGAATGTCCTTAAACTCAAGTTAAAGATGGGTAATTCGTAATAATTCAGCATATAAACATGCCCAAGATCAAACTACAAGGGTCAAGTTACTTTTCTAAGATCGATCTCCGATTGGGTTATCACCAATTGAGGGTGAAGGAAGATGACATTCTGAAGACAGCTTTTCGAACTTGGTATGGTCATTATCAATTTTTTGTAATTTTATTTGGTTTGACTTATACTCTTGTCGTATTTATGGATTTGATAAATAGAGTGTTTAGAAAATACCTTGATATGTTTGTGATTGTGTTTATCAATGGCATCTTGATGTACTCAAGAAGTGATATCATCTGAGGATGGTGCTGCAAGTCCTCAAAGACCAACAACTCTTTGAAAAGTTTGGTAAATGCTAGTTTTGGTTAGAACATGTGGCTTTTATTAGTCACATTATTTTCGAAAAAGATATTGAGGTAGACCCTAAGAAAACGGATGCGGTTAAGAGTTGGCCTAGAACTCTATCCCTTGCAAATATTTGAAGTTTTTTGGGTTTGCCCAGTTACTATAGAAGATTTGTGGAAGGGTTTTCTTCAATTGCCTCTCCATTACCAGCATTGACCCAAAAGAAAGTACCGCTTCCCCGAGAAGAGAATCTACTTTCCTAAAATCCCTACTTTATTGCTCTTTAAGTTCGTATGGTTTGAAGCATGTGAGAAACTTTTCAAGAATTCAAAGATAGACTTACCTCAACTCCGGTGTTGACCTTACTAAAAGGATCTGATGGGTTTGTGGTTTATTGTGATGCTTCAACAATCTCTCTAGGTTGTGTCCTTCTGCAAATGGGAAAGTTATTGCTTACGTTTCACGGGAAATTAAGATTCATGAAAAGAACTAACCTACCCATGGTTTGGAACTAGTGGCAGTTATTTTTGCCTTAAAGATTTGGAGGCATTACTTATATGGTGTTCATGTTGATGTCTTTACCGACCACAAGAGTTTGCAATATGAGTTCAAGAAAAAGGATATAAATCTTCGCCAAAGGAGGTGGCTTGAGTTGTTAAAGGATTATGACATGAGTGTCCTCTACCACCCTGGCAAGGAGAATGTGGTTGTCATGCTCTTAGTCAGTTATCAATGGGTAGTGTTGCTCATATTGAGAAAGATAAAATGTAGTTGGTTCGAGATGTTCATAGAATGGCCCGATTAGGTGTTCAACTGGTTGACTGCACCAAAGGTGGTGTGATGGTTCATAAGGGTTTAGAGTCATCTTTTGTGTCTGATGTGAATGCCAAGCAAGGTCTTGATCCAATTTTGGTTGGATTGAAGGAAGCAATGCTTAAGAAGTTTGTTGAGGATTTCTCTTAAGGGGAAGATGGTGTGCTTCGGTATCAAAGTCGTTTGTGTGTTTCCAATGTTGATGATTTTAGCGAGCATATTTTATTAGAACCCCATAGCTCTCGATATTCCATTCACCTGGGAGCCACCAAGATGTATCGTGACTTGCGGGAGGTTTATTAGTAAAACAGGATGAAGAAGGATATTGCGGAATTCGTGGCTAAGTGTCCTAATTGTCAACAAGTAAAAGTTGAGCATCAAAATTCTGGAGGTTTATCCCAAAACATTAGCATTCCTACTTCGAAGTGTGAAGTTTTAATATGGAATTTATTGTCAGTTTATAAAGCACCGAGTGGCAACATGACTCAATTTGGGTTATTGCGGATTGTATGACGAAGTCATCTCAGTTCATTCCCATCAAGGTGTCTTATTCAGCGAAGGACTATGTTAAGTTATACTTGAGGGAAATAGTGAGGTTGAATGCATGGAGTGCCCTTATCCATTATCTTTGATCATGGTACCCAATTTACTTCTCATTTTGGAAGTCTTTCCAAAAGGGACTTGGTACTTGTGTTAATCTTAGTATGGTCTTTCACCCTCAAATAGATGAGCAAGCGGATTGTACTATCCAAACTTTAAAAGATATGTTGACAGCTTGTGTGACTGACTTCAAGGGAAATTGGGATGCTTATTTGCCTTTGATTGAGTTTGCTTACAATAATAACTATCATTACAGCATTGGTATGGCTCTATTGGTAAGAGGTGTAGATCTCCTACATGATGGTTTGAATTTTGTGAGGTTTCCTTGATAGTTCCCGACTTAGTACATATGGAGAAAGTTTGGCTAGTAATAGAAGGGTTGAAAACAGCTCAAAGTTGACAAAAGTCCTATGTCGATGTTAGGATGAGAGACTTTGAGTTTGATGTTGATGATTAGGTCTACTCAAAAATCTCACCCATGAAGGGTGTGATAAGGTTTGGAAAGAATGGGAAGTTTATTCCCCGTTATGTTGCCCATATTAGATTTTGAGGCGTATTGGTAAAGTTGCTTATGAGCTTGATTTACCTAATGATTTAGCATCGGTACATCCAGTCTTCTATGTCTCCTTATTTAAGAAATGTATTGGAGATCCGACATCTATTTTCCCCTTGGAAGTTTTGGGAGTTAAAGAGAATCTTTCTTATAAAGAGGTTCCAATTGAGATTTTGGATCGGCAAGTTAAGAAGATGAAAAATAAGGAAGTTGCATCCGTGAAAGTCTTATGGAGGAATCAATGAGTTGAGGGTGCTACTCGGGAGGCCAAGGCCGATATGATGTCCTGTTATCCCAATATCATTCCCTCCGACCCTACCCTAGCTTGAGGTATTTAGTTCCTCATGCCATCCTTATGTCTTAGTCATTCTCCTGATTCCTCATGCATGCATTCTCAAGGAAAACTTGACTTTTAACAAAATGAGCTCACTTGATTGATTTATCCATATTTATTTTCATTTGAGTATGAGTTGCATATAGGCTTTATGAAATGATGTTTTGGATAAGCTTTAGCTTGGAGTCGATTTTTCCTCCTCTGCTATGTGCATTTATGTGATTGCATTCATGTTGGTCGGTTAGATTTTCTTCCTACCCTCCTTTGATGTCTTGAGCTCTATTCGAGGACGAATGTTCCCAAGGGGGAGATATTGTAACACCTCAGATTGGGAAAGAAGAAAAATGCATTTTTTGGGCTGGTGTATGTGTCTACGCGTCCCATCTACAGACCTTAGATGCTTCTATGGGCCATAGATGGCAACCGTAGGAAGTAGGAAAATAAGTTT